CTTTCTCAACTAAAGAAAACCACTGAACTTAAAATAACAAAGGTAGGACTTATTTATTAATGTACAATATCCAAAATTCCTATTAAGTTCTGTCAAGACCAGTTTGATACAGCACACTCTCAGGAACTGAAATTAACACATACTGACTTGGAGGTTAAATCCACTGCTTCACTCTATCTGTATTTTTCATTTGTAAGCTAAAGGTTAGGAAGTCCCTGGTTTCTCTTCTGAAAAGGTGCAAAGCTACCATGTTAAAAAATGGAAATACCATTTTATTGTATCCACTGTCTCTTCACTCAGTCATTTATCGACTTGTCTTGTGTCAAGGTACCATAAGGTGTTTACTTAATTTATCAGAAGCATTTCTGCATGCTCTCTGAGATGATTGGTTGTGAATTAGGAGTTTTGGGATTCCTTGTTAGCCAGTTCATGCTGACTGATGGGGACTGTTGTCAGTAGTTGAAAACGTAACTCACTCTGGATAGTGGATAATGGTAGTAAGGATGAAGAGAAGAAAATGATGAGCATTGCTATTTTCATTCTTCCAGACAGTGTCACAGTTACATGATCAAAGGCTTGGGATAAGCAGCTATATTATAAGAAGCCAGCTATTCTGAGTGTATATCAGAGCATGCTGAGACACTATCTAGAATGGACACAAGTTAGGACTGACTTTATTATTTATGTTTTCACAAACATCTGATAAAGTTACCAAGAGCATTCCTGTACTAATTGAGTCTTGGAGAGGAAAAGGAATCTTGACTGTTGCTCCTTAGATAATCATCCAACCAACACAATCATAACCCCAGAGTCTTTATGAGAAAGGATGAAAGAGCTTGCAATTTCCTTGACTGATGACAACATCCTGAGTGATAGGGACCAGTGTGTCACTTTATAAAACCTTAACCTCATTCAAACTGGTTTCCTTGCCATTTCTCCAAAAACCTGCTCTTGGATCCCAGCACGATTACTCATTACAACAATTGCATTTACTTTTCCTGTCAGGACAACTCATTTGAATCTTTTTGGAAGATCCCCTTCCTATCTTTGGCAACATGCAAAGGCCAGTTCTGTTGAAGAAGATTATTCATATGTGCTCCCTCTCCAGTTCTTCCTTTCTTAAAAGGCAATTTTACATTTTTTATGGGGCAGTGAAAAATACCCATGGATATTTTTTGTTCTTACCACCCCGGTCACACAGCTTGGTGAGTTGTTTTCAGTTAAAAAACCTTGCTCCATCTACCTACTAAGACACTTAAGTAAGCAGAGTTAGCGACTGAATGAAGGACAGAAAGGAACGCTACCAAGATGCTATTATTCTCCCAGGGCAAACCACTTCTCTGTCCCCTTGCAAGGCAAGGCACCTAAAATAGAAATGAGAAAAACAGAACTATAGCCCTGTCTTCTTGTGAAACCACAGAATAATGGGAGTGGGACCACTTTGCTCACCATAAGGGTCCTGAGAGACATGCAGGAGGCAGCCTCAGAGCAGGAGCAGCACATATCCTGAAGTTCTGCTGTCATGGGATGGTACTACATTGTTCCTTGGCTTTGCCAAGGCTCTGTCTGCTTCTGGTGCAAGAGGACAAGTCTTCCCAAATCATCAGGCACAGTTCCATCCACATCTAACCTTCCCCTAACTCTGGCCCCTTTCTCTCCTTATTGCTTCTCATGTGGTTTCTTTAGCTTCTCTTCCAAGTGCAAAAAGCTGACATTTTTTACTCTTCCTCAGACTTTGCATTCCCACCTTAAACACCCACATTCCACCTCCTGCCTTTTGTTCAGACTCTTGCATACTTCATGTTAATCAATTCTCTTATTATTTTCTACATCATGCAGTAGCTCAAAGCCTTTGCATTCCACAGGTGGGTCAATTAAAAAAGACAAAGGACACATCAAGATGTTTGTCAGGGAAGTATACAAAGATGTGAGCAAACAGCTCAGCAACCTCTCCACTTCCTGCATGTATAAAAAAGGTGTCTTAGCATGCAGAAGAGATGCACTGCAGACATCTGAGTAAGAGGAAAACATTGCTAATAATCACATCCTGCCTATAAAGGGTCTTTGTACAAAGCACAACCTGAGTAATGTTAGCTTTCTTTGCTGAATTACTTCTGCACAGTTTTAAGCTGAATTTTCCTTTAGCACTTCTTGCCATATTTAGTATCACAGTGAGTGTGCAAAGCTCCAAGCCTCGCATTCAAGTGAGGCCCCTGGGATCTGTGATATCTCAGAACAAGAGATCAAGCAAGAGAAGAAAAACATGAGAAAGACCATTCCACCCCCCAAAATTATTACCCCATCAGGTGAGTCAAACTTACTGGTGCATTTACTTTTGACTTGAACTTCACATGAAGTTATGGAAAAGTCCAGACTGAAGGACTGCTGTCACTGCCTTGTGAATGTCAAACAACCCAAAGACTGAAAGATTTATCTGTTAAAGCTTTACTAAGGAGGATAACAAGGGAAAGGAAAATTAGATACAGAAGGAGATTACATGTGACTTCTGAGTTTACAAAAGAAATGTGATTTGGCAAGCCTGAGAAGCAGAGATGCTGCTCTCTGAGTTGGGGTTAGTTTCACCTAAAATAAACTATATTTTGGGGAAAAAAAAAGAAAAATAAAAGTTAATACACTGTAAGTCTGTAAAGATATCTCACAATTGAGAGCTGGCACCAGGCAAAGTCATCCCCCTCTAAATGTTACCTGGGGGAATTTAAAGTAGTTTGGAATTATATATCTCTAGAACCATATTTCATCTTAAAAGAAAAAAAATTACACCCATGTAATCCATATGTAATCCATACGTAATCCATACATTACATATGTACATCCATAAATTGTTTCTTCTCCTGTGTTGCTGTAATCATAAGCCATTTGTATTATTTTTTCATAAGTACAGCATAGAAATGATAGCAGTGGCTGCAAAGAGACTGAAGGCTTGAAATGCTACTGGGTAGATTATTATAAAAAAAGTTTTCTACTTTCCCATAAGATTTAACTGCTAGTGGGGAAAAAGGATATAGAAAGAAAGGTGTCAGTAGGATTTCTTCAGTTAAGTTTCTTACCAGGTCATCTTCCAATGGGTACAGGCACTGAGGTCTCTGCAAAGAAGGGCTCTGCTTGGAGGTGATCATTGTGAAACACCCCAGAAGTGCATGGCAGTTCCTGTCTCCTCTAACTGGCATTATAGTCATGTATGGATGGTGCTCAAGACTTTCCAGGCTGTGCAGAAGGTAAACCTTGGCTCACTAACACATATATTCCAGTTGGGTTTTGGTGGGCCATTTCCACAACAGTTCTATTCACATTTCCATCAGAAGCAAGAAGGTTGCGGCTAAGCCAGGATAACCTAAGAAAAAACAGGATGATGGATTATTCTCTTTGAAGATGGAAGATAATGCAAGCCAGGTGATGATCAACCCTGGTCCTATGCCCTCTTATCATGTAGAAGGAGCTGGAGTAAGATTTGAAGGCACTGTATGAGTGAGGTGGAGGAGAGTGGCATTAGAGATGGCAGACTGCTGCGTGGATGTCCTTGCAATGGTAGATGCTTTTCACATGGACTCCAGAGCCAGTGCAGTCAGAGCCATGTCTGCGGCCTTTCCTGTGATTGAACACATAGGTGGAAGGTCTGTAATTATCCCTTTGGGTACTCTTTGTTTCTCTGTTCATTTCCCACAGCTCTCTGTCTGAAGTGATGATACAAAACCAAATCAGCCGGCTGCTCTGAGGAGACTTTCTCCATAGCCTGTCCCTCTTCCTACAGCTATCAAGGAGCACCCAGCTAAGTGCTTCTCACATGTCTGGGGTCTCAGAGTGAAGACTGAGTGAAGACAGTGAGACTTCCCTGTTCTTATGCATTACAAGAAATCACACAGTGATCTATAAGAGTTTGGCTTGCTTTTCAATATTTTAGTAGTGTTGCAGTAACATATTAATTGTGGTTATGTTAACAAAGGAACAGCCACAGATGTTGCTAACTGAGATTGCTGCTGAGATGAGGCAAATTCTCTGGAACCAGTTTCAGGAGGAACTAATCCTAAGAACAACTTACCTAAAAGTTCGTCGCTAAACTGCGTACAGGAGGTGGAAAGAGCTGGCAGCCAATTAAATACACTGGAAACAGAAGGGAAATGTGGAGGTGGAAGAAAAATGGAGATATTTTGCTGTTGCCCTTGAGAAAGTCGTTCCATCCTGAATTTCTCCAACGCCATATCCTTTGTAAGGTTTCAAAACCAACATTTAAAATATATTAAGGACAACCCTGTCTGAAAGTTAAAGCCCTTTGGGGGAGAATAAAAGAAGAACTTCAAAGTAACAAAATGCTAAATCTGGCAACTTGTTTTTAATGGAAGTAAAAACCTGCGCGATTTAATACTTGAAAGTGTAATAAGAAGAGAAATGTCACACATAGAGTTCAATTTCTACCCGTGGAATTGTGCCCCTGATTTAACAAATTCCAACTTAAATGCTTCCACCACAACTGAAGAATGTTTTACTGACCTCGAGCTCATTGTGCAGCAGAGGTCCAACAGTATTGCTAGGACTGGGATCAAAGAAGTAGAGGTTTTCAAGGCAGCTTGCTAGCTTGATGTGAGCAAAATCCAGCTGGGTAACATTCTGCAACCCAATGAATGCCAAGCCCCCATTTTTTGTGGACTTTTGCTCAGGATGACTTTATACATATGTCATCAAAATCTATTCTTACTTTGGAGAAGTCTCTGGCCTTTCCCTCGCAAAAGGACATTGCTGCACATGATGCTGCACAGTGATCTGATTTGTCTTAGACCAACCTTCAGCCTCGCAGGATGACCACTGGCATCCAGCTACACTTCCAAGATTGACTTCTGGTGTTATGGCTTTCCTTCAGTCATGAACAGAATCCCTTCTACATGTAACACTGCATGAAATCAATGGATTATTGCTAGCACAAGCGAGCAAAATCTAGCTTACCTGTATTGGGTTTTAAATGTCATTTTTTAATTATTATTTTTCAGTTTTCACATATTTGAGCACCTGGTTTTAATACTCTGGACAGGGGACAGAATTCTGAATGCTGGCATTCAAACAGATGCATGTCCTGAAACATCGGTCAGGATCTCCCATAAGGTAACACTTTATTGTAGTAAATATTATCATTTATGTGCCAGGTTACTTTCAGCTCTGCACAGTGGGAAACTGCTGTCTTGAATAATAGAATGTCTGCAAGTTATTAAATTTTGACCATTGAACCTACTGGTATCTAACAGGGATGTTAAGATTAATGTTTATGATGTGGTTTAGAGATGAAAGCCGCTCCGAAATGTGATTTATGGCTGTAGAGCCAGCAGGGCTAACTGGTGGGAGCAGCTTGGAATGGCAGTCAGGTATGAGGACTGACTTGCTGTGCTGTAGGCTAGCATGGTACTGGTTGGTCTTACTGTGCCATGGCAGAAAAGTGCCGGGGGACCTAAACCAGGAGGTTTACTGTGCTGGATCATTTTGTTTTGGATCAGCTGACATAGATAGCAGCTAAAATGCAGTGGTTGGGCACAGATACCACACGTCACAGTGATAAAAGCATGGCTCAGTGCACCTGCATGAGTACCCAAGGGGACCAGGCATAGTGACACGACAGCTTATTAAGGCTTTATCTGCGGTAGGAACTATTTCTTATTTGAGGAGAAGAACAGAGGGAGGACCAGGCAAATTCCCATCTTTTACAGACATCCATGTTTTGGTGTTTGTAACAATTAGCATATCTGTGCCAAAGGCAATATGCTAGTCTCTGTCTGTGCTGATTTTGGCCATGTCTTAGCTGCAGGGAGGCTGAGCTTCACCACATTTTGCCATTCCAAGTTGCCTAGTTATCCATATTACCCTCATCTGGAAACCAAGGCAGCAATCAGATGTGCGCACATGGTAAATGCAGCCTAAGACCTAGAAGCTGGGAAGGTTCCCACCTTTTGGGTGTTTCCATTTAATTTCTGGAGGGGTTTGGTGAGAAATTTGGCGTAAACTATGAAATCATAACATAGCAACATGACATCCATGATTGATGTAGATTATGACACCTCTCAAGATATTTCCCTCTTTCCTGCAGTGTCCCAGATATCTTAGCCAAGCAGATGTTCACCATTATTTTGAGCCATGGAAAAATGTAGGATTCACACTAGAAGAAATAATACAGAACATGGAAGACGTCTGAACTATTCTCTGTTTGCTTTGTCTTGCAAGTAACGAGGAATTTGTATTTTCTGAGTCAGAGCTGGAACTGGAACACAGACACCTCACGTTCTGGAAGGACCTCACTCTTCAGAACCTCCAGCCACCAGGAAAGACAAGGCCTGCACCCCCCTCTCAAAAGGCTGTCCTGTTTTTATGTAGAAAAGCAACACATTTCTGTGAAACAGAAGAAGAAAGAAGAGATCTCTCTGATGATATTCTGCTCAGTTTCTTGTTCTGGCACGTTATTGTGTCCAGTGATTGCAGGAGGAAAGGAAGACCTAGCAGCCCTTAAGACGCAATGGCTGTTGGCTCCATTGTTTTTCTGGGGGTAGTGTTCATTCTCGAATTATAACACCCATTCACTCTCAGCCATGAAGCTTTCAGTTTCTATGAGATTTCAGGACTCATTTCTATCTAATATGAAACCTTAAAGTTTTCCAGGAAAACTGTTGGTGGTAAAAATCCGCTATTGTCCATTGTTGGCACTGAAGAAAGGCTGTTGGAACATGGCATGTAGACGTTCCCTCCCACCATTCCTTCCCAGCATTAACAGTGTCATCGCTGACCCAAATAAATGCATTGTTCTCTGAAGCAGAGAGAATAAAGTTATTTTGAACTGATAAGGCTCCTCCCTGACTATTCCCTGCTTGGACTCCATTACCAGAAAGATGGTCCCCATCTGACTTGGCTGTTCTTCTTGGAATAACCCCAGATCTTCTTTATACTCCAAGCAATTTGACCTGTTTCCTTCTCTCAGCACATTTACCCATGAAGCACCAGAGAGCAAAAAGTTTATCAGAGAAGGGAGGTCCAAATTGCTCTCCAAGGGCTCACCTCATCAGGAGACGTAGTAATTACATAGGGTAGGTTTTATTCAGCCTGTTTGCAGCACGTTTCAAAGACAACATAGCTGCTGGAAATGCTGCCATTTCAGCCTCTCGTGTGAAAGGCAATGGTTATTGCTTGTGGCTGCTTCTTCTGCTTCAAGCCAAGCAAAGCATTACTGCTCAGCTTGCACTGCTCTCCACGGTAAAGACAGACCCAGGTACTCATTGACCTGGCCGCCCATCAGCTTTTCCCAGGGAAGCCAGCACTGCAGTGCAGCCAATGTGTAGCTACATCCCCCTTTGCCAGGCATGGGAGCGCGGTGGGTCGGTACATTCTGTTCAGCCTCCGGAAATGGCAGTTCTGCTGCAGGTCAGGGTTTGAGAAACGGACACCTTTTTCCCTTTTTTTTTTCCCTTTTCTGCGGATTTTCTTTTAACTCCTTTCTCCCCCCTCACTTTCCCTGGGCCTCTTCCAAGAACAATCCTGGTGCCATTCTCTCCAACCAAAGGCACAAAGAGCTTCTTTTACTGACCCACGGGCTGTTCAGGATACAAAGAAGTTAAACTAACAATGCTGCAATGCAACAGCCCATTACAGACAGGTCTGGATGAGTCACAGAAATAAAGAGTAGGAAAGGATTTAAGAGGCCACCTTCCCCTCTTCCCCAAGGCAGCACGAGTATTTCGCCTACTGCACTTTCCAGTGTCTCTGTTACTTTGCCCCTGTGGAGTACTGCAAGCTCTCCATTCCTCCCTCAGGAATGGTATTTATTGCTGTGATTTATCACTCTTTGAAACAGGTTTCCCCAGCCTTTTATGCTTATTAAGAGAATACACCTTTAATTGTGGAGTTTAACCCCACAACCTTCTGAAAACAGCATTTTAAGTGCACATTTAATCGGAGAGGCCAGTATACCTCTTTGAAAGAGTTTCTGTTTCAAGATCTGTGTTGCCTAATGGCCAATCTCTGACAGAGTGAACGCTAGATGTACTGTACAGTAAGTGGCATCATTTTCAGGTACCTGCTGCAGTACACAGAGATCTAGAAAGGAACCTTGAAGACCTAGAGGGATCTGGAATCACTGTACGAAATTGCTTAAAACATAAATGCAAATGCTAATAACACAGGTGGGTTTGCACTCATCCACGGTTAGAAGCGACACCATCTCAGCATTACTACCCTGACATCATCTGTCAGAGATTTTTGCTCCTACAGGCAGCCATATGAGAGATATCGACCTGGCTACCCTCATCTTGCACAAAAGTGAAAAGGGGTTTGTTCACTCACCTCTGACACAGGCCCAAGTGATGATGAGTATCCTCCACTGTCACTCGTGCTTCATTTGCAGGCTGTTTTGACACTTTATCTATTTCACTCTGACTAGAAGGCTGTTCTCATTGCTCTAATAATTAGGAAAGGTCTTCTATTTCTTTTGGACTAAACATGGACACAGAATGTGGCACCATCTCTTCACACTTCTCAGCATACCCACAGACAGCATCCACAGCACCTCTAACATTACTTTAGGTCCCCCTGAATTGTGACAGCCCAGATAGGTTAGTATGAACAGTCCCCAGGCGCATGGTGGTATGGTGAAACCAGGACCACCATCCGCACTGGTGTGAGAGTTCATAGCTTTGGGAGGAAATCCTTGCTGGGCACAGAGGCTGCAGAAGTGCCTGATGGTGATGCTTTGGCTCTTCCACAACATGTGCACAAGGCCCAGGGAGCTCTGATTTTTACAGGAAGGTGAGGCACTTCCAAGGGCAATAAAGCAACCTGAAAGAACACACAGCACACATAAAAATGCCCAAACCAGTTTGTCTCCTACATCTCAAAATACAGAGGCTGCTGGGGACCTACCTAGGGTTTTTTCTGCTGCTGTACAGCGTGGAGGCCAGCTGAGGGTTTCCTTGCTAACAGACAGATAATGTTCACCCAAAGAGCCTGTTAAATTAAAGCTACTGTGATCAGAACAAGTTTGCAGTCTGCAGCTGCACTGCTCTTGTTTTGCATCCACCAGCAGCTGCCTGCAGGTTCCTTATCCCTCACTCAAAGCTTGATGCTCTCCAGGACAAGTGAGACCCAGCCACCCACTGCATGTCACTCACTGCATGTCACCCTGCCACTCACCAGAGACATGGGGCTTGATAAAAGGGCACCTCTATCTCGTCCCTGTGCCAACATCATGAACAAAACATCACCACCATTATTCTCAATGGGGTCAAAATGATTTTCACATCAAGGTCAGCAAACAGAGGAAGCCAGTCATCTGCAGGGTAAATATTAACAACCTTTAGAACCATTTGTAACCTAATTAAATGCTTTATGGGGTATTTCCTGTGCGTGTAAAATCTGGACACTATTCCTGTTGGGTACAAATCTGCGGGTGCATTAACTGCTGTAAGATAAAACAAAGAAACAAAAACACAGCCCAAACTAACCAGTTCTTTTATATTTTAATTGTAAGGATGTCATTTCAATGCCGAATGGATTAAACGGACTGGAGCGGCTTAGTTCAGCCTAACCCACAGTTTCATAACACTAGATGGAGATCATTGTTGGCTGATGGCACTAAATTATTAGTAAGGTTCCTGTAGTTTTTTAGGGAAGGGACTGGTTTGAATCTCGAATTCTTCTTTAACCAAACCCATTATTCTGAAGTTGTGTTCAATATGACCTGGAACAGCTTCAGTCATGACTCAATTCAAATGGAAACTGAACTGAAAAATGCATTGGTTCCTCTCTCTGGGCTTTACTGAGTAATTTTGTAATAAAGTTTCATGGAGACGGAAGCCCCAGACTTTCACTTTGTGAAAGAGCTTGGAAATTCCAGACGTGTTTCTGCCCAGATCGGAGCAAACCCCAAATACTTCAGGATTCTACATGAAGGAGAAATTATCCCAAAGATGATCTTTTTAGTTCACTGAAATATTTTATTTTTTTAAAAGCATCATTTAATTTCAACATTTTTAAAGGCTACTGCTATGCAAAGTAAAGGAGATCGAAATAAAACCACATTTCAAAATAAAAGGATAGAGGGCTCCATGTCTAAATGTCCATAATTCTTCTATAACATTTTATTAATTTTCTTTTGATAGGCAACTAATTGACCAACCTCTGTGAAATGCGTTACTTTTGGCATCTAATTCAACCTAATTTTGTTCTTTCAAAATTTCTCTGACTACTTCTTTGATAATAAGAAAGGGGCATTAATTATGTGCATGTGGAAAGCATTTTCCATGGAAAGTGCTTTTTATTAATGGTGAGACTATGTGTGAGCATCACAGGCTGAGAATAATTAACAAAGCAGTTGAGGACCAGTTTCCATTAGGTATGGCATTAGATATGGTACACAGCTAACTTCAAACGCAGAATTAGCTTCGCAGAGTTAATGGGTCTAACAGGACCCTTTTCCATCATGAAACGAGGCAGCATGTGTTAACTGCTTTATTGAGTTGGAACATAAGACTGCAGACTCAAGATCCAATCTGTGCTCCCACCTCTGCCATAAATGTGACAGGTGGTTTTTGTACATACAGGTGTTAAAAAGATGCACAACATCAAACCCAGCTTAAATGCATGAATAGCAACAAAGATTTGAAATTCGGGAGTGTTCAGAAGAGATTTGAGCACACCTACACAATGCAAGTAGCTCAATAGACAGAGAATAACCTCCAGTTCAATATTCACATATAAGAGATATTAACACCCTTAATGAGTCTTATAGCAGTTAAAGCTGCTTGCTGACCGGTTAATCGACAGAGAATGTTATCCAGGACATGATAGAACCAAATAATGATCCCCTTCCAAACCACAGTCAGGCCAGCGTTTATTTATTTATTTATTTACAATAACATCCTAATTTTAACTTGTGATAAAAACAAAAAATGCAAGCTTCCAATGGGTTGAGTCAGCCCTGACTGATGCAACTGAAGCAGAGGAAGTGCAATCCGGGCATTATCCATGTGCGACTCTTTTCAACACACGTTTTCCACACCCAGGTTTATATTACAGACCAGCTAATCAATGGAAACATTGTGCTGGCATCTGTGGGTAAAATCTAGACCTTGATGTTGACACCTGTCAGATATTTATGGTGGTTATTGTACCAGCACTTTATTGATCTTTCAGCCAAGTTACACACATGTGCCCACGCTTTCAAAACCTGGTCCCTCACACAGCCTCTATTTTGCTGTGAGCTGCAGTGCGTATCAGATTTGCAAGAACAATAAATTAGTGCAACTTCTCACCCCAGCTTCAGATTTAGTGTGCATGAATGCAAGTGATGTGCACATTTGGTTGCTAACATGGGAAGCATAGGTCCAGTTCCACAGAAGTATTTCAAATTACAGTGACAGGACTTCTAAGGATGTGTAAGGCTTTAGCCCAATTTAAATAGGTATTTCCCTCATCTGCACCACATCAGAGCAAACCCAGGCTGTGCCTGGACCACAGGGCAACACCTCCAAATGTGATTGAGTTGTCCTGGATCAGTGCTCTGATCCAGGACAACTCTCCACAGTGATAGCACAACCTGTCCATTTCCCAGTGTCATACCAGCACAGATGTACAAGGCACAGTCAGTGCTGCTCTGGATTCATGTAAACCTTCTCCTGCTTCCTCTCACCTGCCCTGGAGCTCCCCATTTACAGTATCACAGCATGAACAACCAGTGATTTTTGAACCAACAATTCATCACTCACTCCAGCAGTGGGATAGGATGAGAGGGAAGGGAGAGGAATGTTCACTCTCTGGAGGCACCT